GTAGAAACCAATTCGCAATCCCTTTCGTAATTTCAATTTAGTTTCCTTTTGTCGGCGTAATGAGCGAGTCTGCACGTTTCCGTGTAATTATTTTCCCGGGGACAAACGAGTTTTTGTTTAGCTACCAGCATGCCCACTGCACAGCTTTCAATCTCTCATATTTTTCTCTCTCGCCTTGCTCATTGCAACTGCTGCTGGGGAACTGACACAGAGTTCAACTCAATTAATGGAAGAATATCTATATTTTATACGTCAACCTATTAAACTTTGGAAATTGTCCATTTTCCTGCTTTATTGTCTTTAGATCGTTGTTTTGAATTATTTTATGGGGACTACGTTAGTTTGAAGCGTCTTGAACTTTGAACGATTGAAGTTTCTTATTAGGTAAGCGGCATTAGGTTGTAGCTTATTGGTAATTGTGTATGGGTATGTGTGTTTACTATTGGAAAACTAACCTGTTTTGTAATGTGGTTGCCAGTATAGCAAGGCAATAACCATATGTGATTTTCTTACTTCATGAACAGGGTTGATGTAGAGCACGCAATATGTATGCTTATGTCAAATATGTAGAAGTCGTAAGTTGACAATAAAAGTGGAAATAGTTATCAACATAACTTATTTGAAACCTAATTGAGGTTAGGATTCCTATTGAACTAGACACATGTGAAAATATATTCATTCCTTTAAGTTTAACGCATTCTCTTTCATCACTATTTGAAGTTGAGGTTATGTTGTTGTTTGCTCTCCTATTACTTAAATATTTTCAAAAATATAGGACTTTATCCCTTCGTAGCAATGGAAATATAATGTATTCTTTCATTGAAATCTGACACCTGTAACTTTGTTGACAAAACAATGCTCCAGAGAATGAAGCAAAACATGGATCACATAAAATCAGATACAATATGTTGGAAACAAATTACTAAACACGCCATTTTAATGGTAAATAGGATTACTATTGTTGAATGTCTAAGAGATTTAATGAAGTTGTAACCAAGATACATACAAGTTTTATCGTTACACTCAAAAATATGTCTGATAATTGACTGATGCTTATCGACAAGTAAAGAGAATGTTCCACTACGTAGTCACAGGAGGAACTTCAAAAGAAAACAGAAATGTATACGAGACATAGTTTCAGCAATGAAGACACTATTCGCATTGAAGATCATAAGCTAAAACATTCTAGAGCTCCCGACAAATCATTCTTCTCTGAGTGACGCAAGACCTGTACAATTGAAAGAGCGCAGGAACCATATTCACTGTGCGCTGATTATGACTTGACGATGGGATACAAATACTATGGAGAAATATGAAAGAATACATTGAGTGTACTCACTCTGTAGGTAGTAGAGGATCTAGGAAGGATGATACTGCTGACAAAGTGGGTAGACACGGTGGTGGAGGACCGGCAAGTTTCGGTGGGATGCAGAAACATCGGGCGGCACAGAACTAGCGTAGTGGCCGTGGTTTATGTTGCTCGTACGCACTAGTACCGCCGTCCACACACCACGTACACGCACCGTCATCCGGCGAGACCTGGAGGCTACGTAGCGCGTATATCCAAGTGGTCGAGAATCACGACACACGGCACGGCACGGCACGGCACGGCACGGCACGGCACGACACGACACGACACGACACGACACGATATATGACGAGGCGAGGCAAGGCACGACACAGAGCACGTTACAACCACGGGAACTCACGGGGTACGCACAAATCTACGTGTGACGATGATCGTAAAATCGTAGAGGCACCACCTCGAGGAAGCAAGATTCTTCGGAATAAGTGTGACGGCGGGGGCTACGGATTAATATGGCCGTCCCTCGTTGACACAGAGTTTGGAGTCACGCGTGAAACGCAACGCCGTGGAAACGCGTAAAACAGGTTGACCAGGATATCGTCGGCAAGAGAGAGGCTTGTTCGCGTACGACGCGCACGCATTTGTTTCACTCGCGACACCAAACACACACCACCCGCGATTCTACGTGCAGCTACTCGCTTCCCGTAATCACCCTGTTGTATATTTTCCACGCGAACTTTCCAGCCTTCTTCTTCTCTCCGTTTTCTGTACCTTCGTTTCTTGTCCGTTCCCGTCTTTATCGTGCACGATTCCCTTCAACCCCTCGCTTGGTTACACGTTCCTTGCTCGTTCTCCCTCTTTTCTTTCGCCTCTCTACCGTACCTCGTCGTTTTCGTCGAATACAGCGAGAGGAGGGATCCAGTGAACACCGTGTTCGCGTTTTCGAAACACCGACAACTTCCTCGCCGTATCGTTTTCTCGTAGGAGCGCACCACGAGGGTCGCGGAAGCATTCGAGCGATCGCGTTCTTTTCACGCTTCTCGAGGACGTGACGCGGCCTTGCTGCGAACGACGTCAACATCACCACCGTACGCTTTCATGGCGGCCATCTTTTTCGGGATACGCGAACGCGAATCGCGGAACGGGAAACGCACACGCGTGTGTGTATATACCTCACACATGCATACACGTGCCACTCGCCAGTGGCTACGTACACGCAATATGGCCGTCTCTACACGACACTACACATATAACTGGCAGAGCCGAGGGAGGCACTTGTACGTACGCATACATATACGACTCGACCGTGCCAGCCTGGATATTTTGGATGGCGAACAGCTAAATCGGACGAAGGGACCGAAGAACGAGGAACGGTTGACGTTCCTTGTTTAATAGAGAAACGTGGCGCTGCTGTCTCTCCTTGTTCTCTATCTTTCTCTTCTTTTCTCTTTCTCACAGTGGAACTTCGCAACGTTCCTAACCAATCGCGACTCGATTCCCGATGTAACTCGTTCGGCGGACTAGGGATTTCTTCAGTTATTCCCTTTCCTAACTGCATTTCGTTCAAATGCGAGTTACTGTACTTCCCCCCGCCCCTATCATTAATTTCACGCGGGAATTTTCAATTCGCTTCTGTTTAACTCGGTTCAAAAGTTATTCGACTTCTCGATATCTCGAAAAATGTAACGACATCGGTTTTATAAAGGTTTTATTTATATTCATTTGTTGCCATAATTAACAAGGATTGTCTTGTATGTTTGAGGTAAATTTCGGCACATTTAATTGACAATTTATTTTGATAGAAGTATACTGTGATACGTATTCTTTTGCGGGCAGTAAAGTTCTCTTAACCTATAAATATTATATGTATCAAATTCTCTTATAAAATAAAAATTTGATCGTATAAAAATTCGATACAGATTCAAGTTCAACAGTTTTCTATACAAAATATATATGTACATGTACAAAAAGAAATATTCTTGTGCACGAGCACCCTCTGTTAGATAACGTATTAACGCAAACAAAACTTCAAACTTTTAGGCACGCATTAGATACGTCAACACCACACGAAATGCATTAGTTTTCGTTGTACCCGTTGGAATACAATTATATACTTTTGTATAAACTTTGATACACCATTACGCTCAACGTATTTATTTCGACGAAAACTTCGGCAACTTTGTATAAACCATTATAAATTATAACTTTAGGACTTCTTGAACAGCAGCAACGATCTTGCTCGCACTGATTCCATACTTTTCCAACAATGCAGTTGGAGGGCCAGAACGGGGCACCTCCAACACAGCCAGCTTCTTCACGATAATATTTCGTTCCAAAGCAACAGCAGATAGAACTGCGTCACCTAGGCCACCTTCAGCGTAATGATCTTCAACGGTGACGACTTTTCCACCCACTTCTTTAGCATTCTTTACGATCAGTTGGGCATCCAAAGGTTTGATCGTAAATGGATCGATTACGCGTACATTTACTCCTGCTTTGGACAATTCGTCGGCGGCTTTAAGCGCTTCGTGTAAAGTTACGCCAGCTCCAACGACAAGAACTTGATCTTTAGCTGAAGATTTGACCACTTTACCCTTGCCAACAGCAAACGGCTCTTCATTTTTGTATAAAATTGATGTGGCCGGACGTGATGTACGAACGAAACAGACACCCTTCGTATTAGCTGCCAATTCGATAGCACGTTCTGTTGAAACGGCATCGCTGGGGTAGAAGACTGTTGAACCAGGAATTGTTCGGAACATGGCTACGTCTTCTAGGCCCATTTGCGAAGGTCCGTCTTCGCCGATGGACACGCCGCAATGAGATCCAACGAAGTTAACATTAGTTTGTGAAATAGCACCCATACGAATCTGCGAAATTAAAAAATTAACCATAAAATTGATCAGATGACATTTAAAAAATTATTCACTCTTGTCCTTAAATAGTTACCTGATCAAATGCACGGGTGAAGAAAGTAGCAAAGGCGGACACAAATGCCACGGTTCTGTCTCTGCATGCTGCACCGATTGCAACTCCTACAACATTTTGTTCGGCAATAAAACCTTCGATAAACCTCGCCGGATCAACAGTCTTAATTTTCTCTGCGTATGTAGAATTTTTCGTGTCACCATCAAGAGCGATTACGCGAGGATTATTTTTTGCCAGCTAAATCATAAAATAGTATAAAATATATGTTAAAAGAACGTAAATATCATAGATATGTCGAACACGTTTAGTTTTGAAAAATAATATACAAACCTTGGCTAAGGCAGTACCATAAGCTAATCTTGTAGCTACTTGTTCTCCTAATTTATAACTTGGTGGAGATGCCAGTTTAACATTAGTAATGTCTACTGCTGGAGCATCATCGACCAATGGTTTCTGTGGGTGCAATCCAAGAGGACCAGGATTCTTCAACATTCCATTTAAATGCTGAAATAAATGATTAGTTAATTTTCAGAATACTATTAACGTTAATCAAATTTTCCAGTAATGTATAATGCCTAGTCCTTACTTGAATCACTTCGTTTGCCTTGGTGCCAAGAGGTTTGCCATGCCAGTTTTCAAGATCTTCAACATTGGGGAAGTTTTTACCTTTAAATGTCTTTGCTAGAATGGCAGTAGGACGCCCTTTCGTGTTTTGTGCTTCATGGAAAGCCTTAGCTAATTCCTCAACATCGTGACCATCAACAACCAAAGCATTAAAACCAAAAGCTTCAAGTCTTTTACGGTAGACTTCCATGTTGTGCTGGAGAGATGTCGGTTCACTTTGACCCAGACGATTTATGTCAAAAATAGCACAGAGATTGTCCAACTTATAATAAGAGGAAAAATGAAGTGCTTCCCAAATTGAACCTTCGGCTGCTTCACCATCACCAATCAGGCAGTACACGCTACAAAAAAATAAGAATATTTTATTGACTTCTATAAATGTAAATAAATTTAAAATGAAGGAATATTGATAAATGTCGCAGCGACATACCGATAATTAGATTTGTCGAAATTTTTCCCAACATACGCCATTCCTGCCGCAACAGAAAGACCTTGTCCCAAGGAACCAGTTCCTACATCGACGAAATTCAATCTTGGAGTAGGATGTCCTTCCAAATCGCTATCAATTTTTCTCAAATTAAGCAACTCGCTCGTAGGGAATAGACCGGCTTCAGCCCAGGCTGCAAATTCGGTTGATCGTATAATTTTACGATGTAACGTACGGTAATCATTTATAATCTTGTATATTTTACCTGCATATAAAATAGGGGCCGCATGACCTTTACTCAGAACGAACCGATCGCTGCTCGGATCACGTGGCGCCGACACCTTGTAGCGCATCGTGTGGAAGAATAAAACGGACATAATTTCTGCCATCGACGAACATGATGTTGGGTGACTAAAAAAAGTGGACACTTAAATTAAAAATACAAAAAAGGTTTATGATAATAATTATCGATAGTTATAAGAACAGACTAGTATGTTTAGAGGTCACGAGGACATTTATCTCGATCATACGATGTTAAATATCGGAAGACTGGAATAGAAAAACGTGGAATTACATAACGTGCTATGTACTTAATACAAAAGAAAATCGTGTTGATTGCTCATAAATGATAATGAAATTCAGTTCGTTTCATTTTTATGCCATACATCAAAATTAAATTTTGTTCACTAAGTGAATACAATTAAACAACATAAATATGAAATGAAATTGTACAATTTTCAGGATTCAAATCTATATGTAAATATTATTCGTCTCCGAAGTTTGGTTTAAGGTTACAATTTGTAATGTATACATCCTCTGAATGACTTTTCCTTTTAGTATTCTCAACGTATTAAGCACTTCGAAGTATCCGGTGATGCCACGCATTACCTTCCAATGTCGTAAACTTCAGATTAATTAAATAAAACTCGACCGGTGTCTATAAAACGATCGTTTAACGGAAGAAAGCTCTTTCCAACGCTTCATTTTATTGTTCGTTGGTCATTGATTTTCCTGCCCTACGAGGGCTATAGATATAATGCAATAGCGAAGAATTGAAACGCAGCTTAGAAGTATGCTTCAATGTTATCTTACGAAAAATTCGATGACGGTGATAGTACGATTATATTTTCAATTGTAATAAAATAGTCATTTTCATCTTGTCATTCAAAATTCAAAATTGTTCAGAGGTGGATATATTTAGGTGCAAGACATCTTGGAAATAAAACTTATCAAACGAACTGAAAGAATTTGAACGTATCACCAAGAATTCGAATCAGAAGACACCCGGCGATTAGAACTATTTGAGAACGATAGTACTGCGAAGAGATAGATTTAAAATTGGCAAAAACAGAATTATTAAATACTATTAGAGTAGAATGTTTTAAGTAAATCAATGAAAGTAGGATTATTTCACGAAAAATTTGTCGACTCATCGTACCCGCTTTTCGATGCCTCGGTAGCTTGAATGCTTAGAATGCGAAGCTTAGTTGCAAGGTCTTGGAGTTTTTCCATGTTCGTGTCGCGTACCATCGTGAGCTTAACGGAACTTTCCACGAAACAGTCACCGGATGAACGTTCGATAACAACTGAAGGGACCGAGCCTGTAGCGAGCAACTGTGCGCCAGAACCTCCCTACTTTCTGTAGGAACGATTACTGGAGATTTCATAATCGGTGTGCTCATGTACCATGGGAAGGGATAACCTTGTCAGACATGCTAGACGGCATTGCTTAAAAATGCTCTTCTTCCCGGGAAGAAGAGGACGCCATCTCCAGAACAAAAACGCTAAACGAACATCGCAACGAACATCAATTCGAATATGAGTTCGTGATCGCTTCTTTAGCGATTCCTTTGACAAGAGCTGTATGTAACATTAAAAATTCATCGAAAAAGGATGAGTCAAAAGTCAAACATTATTCATGGATACGTGAAATAAGTAATAATAATAATATCATTTTATTTAACACTGCTTTTAACATGAGACTCTACGGCAAAGAAAAGTTAGAAGGGAAGGGAGACGTGCTGGACAACATTATGCTACAGCAGTAGTTCTCAAAGTGAGATATACCATTTCTTAGGGGAGACTAGAACGATCCAGGGGAGCGGAAATAGCATTAGGTAGCAGCCTCTTTCTGTTTTGTCACTTAAAGGCTAGAACTTCAGTTTGCTTAAGTAGATTTCTAGGTGTAACCGTTAAATAATTCTTTCTTTTAAGGGAGTAATAGTCGAAACAAGTTTGGGAACCTCTGTGCTACAGTATCCAATAAATAGAACATACTAAAATATATGTTATATTCTGAAAGAAAATTATTTCTGTAGGAAGCTGCCGTGTCTACGTACAATAATTCATTAACTATAATTTAATTTTCAAAAATTTGAATTTAAACATAGGCTACTTCAAGGCGAATTGTTTTTCAATTTATTCGACGACACTTGTTTTTAGTTTCCTTTTCTATGAACCTTCTGACCGAGTTATCTATTATAACGGTTTCGTAAAACGTTATCGAATTCAGTTATCTCTAATGCAAAACGAAAAAGAACGTTCAATGGCAAGAATATTTGAAAGATTTTTTCTATATTAGTATCGTTATATATTAATCATTCGTCAAATTTACATATTAGTTTATCATGTTACGATAATTCCAATGATAATTGTAACATTTGATACACTAAACCATTTAACTTCATCGCTCGAACGTTACGTAACGATTCCGCGGCGTGCATTATCCTCGTGCACGTGTTGGAAATGGTCCTCACAGCGTGCATTAAATGCAAGAAAATTATAAGAGTTTCCATGGCTATCTTATGAAGCCTACAAACTTTGACTAGCTTTTATCAACGTGTTAACTGCACCATGATATATACGATCCTGTGTTTAAGTGTTCCTTGTAATCATAATACGCGCATTTTGTTATAGATAATGATAAAGTACTGAAATCTATTCTTTCTAACGGAAAACCACTTTTAACAAATTTGTAGCCATAAAAATCTTGAATTCATTCAGCATCAGATTTTCGACTTCTCAAAACGAATGCTCTATCATTTAACCGGCTAATCTCAATTTAATTTATTTACATGCCATTTCCCTAATTATACAAATCTAAATATTTAACCTATCGTACACATATTTTCGTTCGGCCGGTTACACGTTATCAAAATTAATTTACGCCAAATTTATAAGTAAGACTCAAAAGGAATATTAATGTTCTTTCCGTTGCTGGTAAATGCATAAACATAAATGCAGCATATGAAACTACCTTGAACCGCGTGCCGTGATGCAATGAAAATGAAATGTGAAAAAAGTGGCGTGACACTGAATAAACTGACAAATCGCATGAGAGTACTGCGCGAAAACGGATCATTACTATGTTGCTAGAAAATTTTTCTACGAACAGTATGCGTAAGCAACTATCATTGAATTTAAGATAGAACTATCTCGATCTCGTAAAATAAAGCAAACACTGTTCTACATAGTTCTGTTAATGTCGCTTTGGTCGAAGTAGTTTTTGCGCGCGATTATCAAAGTGATTTTTGATTTTTCACACGACCTGTGTCTCAAAGTTGTACAAATGACAATCAGGAATGCTACTACATACTAATTTATGAAAAAAACATTCGATATTCGGCCGATTAATCGATTCAATATTATAAAGCATAATGTTAACACACGTACCCGGACTTGCTGGCTTGCGTGGCATCGATCGAATGAATTCTTAGCTTCGTTGCAATATCTTTCAGTTCCTGGATGGTTTTCGATTCTGGTTTGTGATAATTGGCCATTTTTTTCATACGAAAACTTCTATAAGCCTGTTAAAACCTTGGAAAAACACCGACCACGATTTGTGCTTCGGAACAAGTAGAATTCGCGCAAGCACGATGCAAGTCGAATATAGAGAAGACTCTAGCTGGCTGAAATCATTTGTTTCTATAACACTCCTTAATGATTTCTAGGTGGCTCTGCCTACGCGTAATTTGTAATTTTTTAAATGCACCCGCAACGCGTTCGAGTATACCGCACTAATTTACGAATTTAATGTAATAATTAAAGTTAACCGAAGGATCTTCGATACACATTTGAGAAATATTACTTTAATAACAAATTTATTTGATGTTTAGGAACAGGATTCATGATGTTATGCTAATACGGTCGATATCGAAATACAAATATAAGGGTTCATAATTTCACACGTAACCGTTAATAAATTATCGAACTAAAAGCATGTAAATACATAAAAGATGAATCGAGAGTTTTACAGAAGTTTCATACTTCCTCGGCGTTTACGAACGTCGTTAGAACCGAATTACAAGTTGTGATGTGAGACACGTCTCTATCGTTAAACCCTTACCGCAATTCTTACTTCTTGATAGAAGTTCAATTAATTCGTTTCATATAGTAACAAGAATTACTAAATTTTTCTGAGAACAAGTAAAACTTAATATATCTCTAGAGATTAAACTTTCACAAATTTCATTTTACTGTTATTTTCAAATTTCTTTCTTTCTTTTTCTTTTAAATATGCAGTAAAGGATTAAATAAAGCGCTTCTTAATAATCGCATCGATTAAAAATATTTGTGTACCGTTATTCTTGATCTGTAAGAATAAATTACTATTATAAACGATTAAATGTTACATTGTGGTTACATCTACATTTATATCTTATTAAATTATATGTACAGACATCTTATCGATAGAGTATCCTTGTAATGAAATTCGCACCTTAATACGCGATACGATATTTTCATCGATGAAAGTTCAACAAGATCGCGTGTAGTTATTCGCGTACTTTGTCTTTCATAACGTTTCACCAAACCAGTGTCATCTTATTCCATGTGATCAAGCTTTCTTAAGCGAAATGGCTTGTCAACAGATACATTCAATAATGTTTCACTGTACGAATTTAGTTGTTTCATTGGTGCATCGTAAGCATAAGACGAGAAGATATTCACATATAATCTGTTCGAATAACAACTAACGTGAAAATTAGATACAAATTTCTTTTTTCAGTAACCGCCAAAACTGTTTGATTTTTTAAATCTATTGAAAGTAAATGTTCCGTTTAGTACACTCATGTAAACGCAAATGTTATATCGTATAAGCCTTATACACATATATATACATATATATAAATACATTTTTATATACTTTTATATGCCATATATGCTTATATATTTATATATACTTATACATATGTATAACATGCAATTGGTTCCCATATTCCTTTGAACTTCATATATATGCATGTCGGCGTATTAATTTATATTATCAATTAATAGCTTTATCACATATAAAGTTTGCTCTATTTACAGTAACTTTTCGTCGATGCCTGGAATGTTCCAATATTTTCTAAATACGATTCAAGATGACTGAAGAATCACGATTTGCAGGCAAATTTTTGATCGCAAGACATTTGTTTATTATGTAATATCATTACTCTCGTGGTAAATTCGAATATGCCGATAATATCTCCTCGGTCATTCGCCTCTGTGTTTTGTTCAAATCATTTAGAATTTCAAATGTAAACAGGGTCAAGCTCATAGAATTTCAGTTGTATTCAAGCGCATCGCCTTCCATCGGTTCATTCTACTATGTACCTGTAACCACCACGCTGCAGTAAAGTAAAGTTTAGTTTACATAGTTGTGATGTCTCACGTTTTTATTCCGTTACGCACATTTCCGAAATAATTTTTTAAAGATAAATTACACTAAATTATCATTTTTTACGTAAATTTAAAATCTCGATATTAAAAGAATTTTATAAAAACGATAACTTAAAATCTATATACAATGTCACTGATTATTTATAAAACTACTATGCAACACTTGATCATATTATATTCTTGAGATTGTTATTTTCTTTACATTACATTCGTCTATTTCAGAGTTAGTAAAAAAGAATAAAACTGCACAACTTGATTTCTACTATTTTGCATCTGCTTATCGTATACCAACTACTTTCGTGTTCCCGTATGTATTGCTGATACAAGTATTTTAACATGTTGTCTTTGTAAAACCAATTTTATAAAAAAGTACTACTGATTACCGTAATGCTCGCTGTGAGTAATGGATCAATTCATGTCACGTAGGAAACAAAATATCTTTTGATAGTACAACAATGATTTCTCCCATCAATTAGTTCAGGCGTATCGCAACTATTTTTAACCTTTTTTTCAGCAAATGTGCAAACTTATTTCTAGCTTTTGATTTGATATGCTTTTCTTAATTTGAGATGTTTGCCTGATACTGAAATTTCTGAAAAATAATGTAAATTATTTTAATAACGATGCAAAGAAGATACAAGTGTATCATTTTCCATACCGTTCGAAATGGGAAATTCAGTTGCTACGTAACGTGGCATGAAACAAATCTCATTTGTCACAAATTC